AAAAACTGTGATAAAATGCACAATATAAAATTTACTATCTTAACCATTTTTAAGCATATAGTTCAGTGGTATTAAATACATGTATACGGTTGTGCAATTATCACCACTATCCATCTCCAGAACTCTTTCTATCGTGCAAAACTGAAACTCTATACCCATCAAACAATAACTTCCAATTCCCTTCTCCCCTCAACCCCTGGCAGCCACCATTCTACTTTCTGTCTCTATAAATTTGACTACTTTAGGTATCTCATAGAAGTGGAATCATATAGTATTCATCTTTTTGTGACTGGCTTATTTCACTTAGCATAATGTCTCTAAGGTTCGTCCACACTTGAGCCTGTCAGAATGTCCTTTCTTTTTAAGACTGAATAATATCCCATTGTATGTATATACCACATTTTCTTTATCCATTCACCTCTTGATGAACACTTTGGTTGGTTCCATGTTTTAGCTACTATGACTACTGTGAATAAGGGGGTCCAAACATCTTTTCAAGACCCTGCTTCCAATTTTGGGGGGTTATACCCATAAGTGAAATTGCTGGATCATATGGTAACACTTGTTTTTGTTATTTTTTTTTTCATAGTAGCCATCTTAATGGGTGTGAGATAGTATCTCACTTTGGTTTTTATTTGCATTTGCCTAATGATTAATGAATTGAGCATCTTTTCATATGTTTATTGGCCACTCATATTTCTTTGCAGAGATATCTATTCAAGTCTGTTGCCCATTTTTGAATTGGTTTTTGTTGTTGAGTTTTAAGTGTCTCATATTTACGATATTAATTCTGTATCATTTAAGTGGTTTACAAATATTTACTCTTATTCTATGGGCTGTCTTTTCACTCTGTTGAACTGTCCTTTGAAGCACAGAAGTTTTACATTTTATGGAGTCCAATTTGTCTATTTTTGCTTTTGTTACCCAGCCCTACTCCTTCACCAGTTGATTCTACTCTCTGGTGTCCTTCTGTTGCTCCTATTTTAGCTTCTGGCCTGTGGAGATCCCCCACTACGTGACTCTAAACCCAAAATGGATCCAGTATCCATTTTACATGAATCTCACCCTTAGCCCAAATGCACTGTCACCTCTTAGGAGAATAAACACTTCTTTGGAACACTGGCCTAGTACTTTACAATTCTTTCAGTCTTCAGGAGGGGATTTTTTCATTGCTTTTATGGGAAATCAGCTGGATGTGAAAAAAAGGGAAAAATGCACTAATTGATTCTAAAAGTGGTGCTTGACTCTGCCTGGTTCATACAGTAAAGGAAGAATATTCAGGGTGTAGCTGCCTAAAACTAGGAACACAAACTAAAGCCTAGGTTTACTTTTTCTCTTAAGTCCATTGAGGTTTCAAATGTGTTTTCCCTCCTGCATTTCTAGACTACTACCCCATCCCTCTTGTTTCTCCATCTCAACATCCCGCCTCCCTACTTCCCTTCCCTGCCTATACAGAGGACTTCTTCCATGATAGGCAGAATAACAGCCCCCACAAAGATGTTCATGTCCCAATTCCCAGAACCTAGAAATACATTACATTACATGGCAAAGAAGTTGCAGATGGAATTAAGATTGTTAATCAGCCGACCTAAAAGTATATTATCCTGGATTATCTGGGTGGGCACAATGTAGTTATAAGGGTCCTTAAAAGTGGAAGAGGTGGGCAGAAGTCAGAGTCAGAGGAAGATGTGACTTCAGAGGAGGTCAGACTGATGTGACATGAGAAGGGCTCCGCTCACCTTTGCCAGCTTTAAAGATGGAGGAAAGGGCCAAGAGCCAAGAAATGTTGGCAGCCTCCAGAAGCTAGAAAATAAAAGAAAGTGGACTCTCAGAGCCTCAAAAAGGAACATAGCCCTACTTGTACCTTGATTTTAGCCCAGTGAGACCCATTTGAGACTAATGCTCTCCAGAATTATAAGATCGTAAATTTCTATTGTTTAAGCCCTTAAACTTGTAGTAATATGTTACAGCAGCAATAGAACCAATATGTTCTCTATCTCAGCCTCCTCAAGCCACTCCATCAGGAGATGGAGCTTTTCCCAGGGAGCATGAAAGGCATTGAGACACAGACTTTCCTTATGAATGACTTTCCCTTATTGAATGACAATAATGGGTCATTTACTCAGTTAATAGCAGGTCTGTTGGCTAATGACAGAGCACTCCTCAATAATGGTGGCATCAATAAGATAGGCACTTATTTCTCTCTCACATCAAAGGTAGCCATCTCACAGTTGGCATGATGGCTCCACAAAGTCAGTAAGGACCCAGATCCTTCCTGTTCACCCTAGTGTAGCAGTCATTCTAGAGGTTTAAGATGGATTTCTGTGATCAATGCAGATGCCTCCCAGGCCAGTAGCAGGAGGAAGGAGAGACAAGGCATATACCTCTTCCCTTCAAGAACATTTCTGCTTATATCTCATTGGCCAAAACTTAGTAATGTAACTCTACCTAGCCTCAAGGGAGGCTTGCAATGTATCTTTCAGCAAAATACACCTAGCTAAAATTCAGAGTTCTTGTGGTCTCCGCTAAGAAGAAAAAAAGTCCCGTTACTAATGAAGAAGAAAGGAAGAGGGATTAGAAGGCAAGTTGTGATCTCTGCCACAGGTCACCCTGTAATCTGATGTAGATTCAGGGCAAAAGAGTCACTGGCCAGAATCTTAAATCTCCCAATAAGAACTTGGTAATTCTGTGATAGTCTGCATTCCAGCGTGATGAATGAATTCCAGTTTGGCAGAAACATTAGCTTCACAGAACAGCATCCAGGGGCTTGTAGATTGTGGCTGCACCCAACGTTGGATGAATAGAAGAGGCTACTCTTCTGAATAAGTCAATGCTCTATCTTGGCCCTGTGAAGTCTTCCTAGGCTGTTAGATGTTTGTTTAATTGTGGGGCATGTAATTTCCCTGTGAGGCTGCGATGATTGGGTCCCTAACCATGCTGATGAAATAATACTTGTTAAAGTCTCCTTTTATTATTTTGTTTTTCCATGCAATTCTCCTTCCTTTGATCTCCAAATGTACAAAAGTAGAGTTCAGAGATCTCTGATTTCAAAAATTCCTTCAATCTTCCCTCCCATTTTGTTGTCTCCAAACTCTTTGAAAATAAATTGAGGGATGGCCAGGCACGGTGGCTCACATCTGTAATCCCAGCACTTTGGGAGGCTGAGGTGGGCGGATCACGAGGTCAGGAGATGGAGACCATCCTGGCTAACACGGTGAAACCCCATCTCTACTAAAAATACAAAAAATTAGCTGGGCGTGGGGTGGGCGCCTGTCGTCACAGCTGCTTGGGAGGCTGAGGCAGGAGAATGGTGTGAACCAGGGAGGCGGAGGTTGCAGTGAACTGAGATTGTGCCCCTGCACTCCAGCCTGGGCGACAGAGCAAGACTCTGTCTCAAAAAAAAAAAAAAAATAGGAAAAGAAAAGAAATTGAGGAAACAATTAATTATCCTCCAATTTATTCTGTAAATGTTGTTGGGTGGCTTATTTTCTAGTGTTCTTTAACATAATATTCTCCATGAAGGGACTTGTATGTTACAGAGAGTTATACATAATTTCTTCTTTTGTCTTGAAAAATTGGATATCAAGAAATAAGTACCAAAAGAGATAATTCATAGATTTTTGCTTTTTGGTCATTAAGAAAAGAATAATTTGTTGATTTTAGTTGGTATGTTAAAAAAAATCTATGTACAGAATTTGTTATGGGTTATTCTTCCTTTTCCAGCTTTTCTGTGTGTTCTCTCTTTTTCTTTTTAAAATAAGTAACCTGATCTTGCTTCATCCTTTGGTAAAAAGATTGCCCAAAGCTAGCAGAAGTCATTATTTTTATATAGTATCTTCAGAACAAGATTCCATTAGTGTCGACGAGGCAGTGTTTAATGTTTCTGTTTCATGGGTCATGCACTCTAGTCAAATCAAAGCACTTAGGTTTTGCTTTATCCAATAGGGTATCAGTGATCTCAAGGAGCACATTTACACAGATGGTCCTAAAATTGCATGTGACACCTTGACACAAAGTAAGATTGATTCAGAATGTGGGGGAAATGGGTATTGAGAATAAAATAAGATATTTTCCAAGATGAACAACAATAATAAAGTGAGATGGTATATCAAGAAAGGATTAGAAGAGAAATGAATGTGGGATATTCATGAATATGAAAGGATTGGAAGAGAAATGAATGTGGGATAGGATTTGAAGGAGAGCACACATGGAGAAAGAGGTACGGTAGAGACAAAGAAACCATCTCACAGTCTGCGTAGGAACAGAACTCTACTCTCAAACTCCTGGCCTCAAGGGATCCTCCCACCTTGACCTTTCAGAGTACTGGGATTACAGGCGTGGGCAACCATGCCCAGCCAAGAACTCTACTCTCAAAATGTTAATGTTCCAGATTTATAAAAGAAATAAGTTAATAAGTTTGTTGTACTTCATTTAGAATAACACTGGTGAACTAATTGACATATTTAACCATTAGGCATGGCAATCCCTCCCACTTGGCATGATAGACATGTCCCTGAGGAATTATGAGTAAAGTAGATCGTTGTGACTCAAACTTAATTTCAAATAGAGTGGGGAGGAATGGTTATTTACAACAATGCTGGAGTAAGTGACACTGAAAAGCCAAGCCTCCCACTATAGTGTCTCTGTAGTATAATACACTGAAGTGGTCACAGTTAACCAGAAGGATAGGGTTTGAGCCCACTGGGAGAACATTTGGTAATATTCTTTGTGTGTGTGTGTGTGTGTGTGTGTGTGTGTGTGTGTGTGTGTGTGTGTTTTCCCTCTGAAGAAGGGATGGGGAAGTAGGGAGAGTTGGAAAATCAAACCTCATCCCCTGGTCTGCCTGCCAATCTGAGGTAATACTGACCGTGGATGGAGAGGGCTGGAGAAGCCGGGCCTGCCTACAGCCACTGCTTTGAGATCCCCTAGTTGCGATGAACTTGCACATTTGCTGGCTCGTGAATTCTCTGATACAATCTTCGTTTTGTTTTCTTTTCTAGTGTTTCTGAAAGATCTATCCAACACTCCGATGGCCAGCAACAACACCGCCAGCATAGCACAAGCCAGGAAGCTGGTAGAGCAGCTTAAGATGGAAGCCAACATCGACAGGATAAAGGTGAGGATGGCCTAACCCCACACTTCATCTAGCCTGAGTCTAAGGCACGTGATTTGCCATCATCTGTCACGTGACCACTCTTTCCTAGAGAGGGATAAAACCAGTAATGACAGGAGAGCATCTTAAAGATTAGGCAGAAGTTCATTTCTAATGTATCTTTCCCTCCTCCAGCATAAAATAATAGAATAAATTAGATCCTCTTTCCCGTGTAGAATTAAAAACAAATAATGCAACATAATAAAAAAGCAAAACAGGCTCATGGTTAAATTCCAGTGACAGAAATTAGAGAACATATGAAATATATCAGTGCACTAGTTCCCCTCCCTGTTCTCATGGAAACCTTTTTCTCATTTGGTTTTTAATTTTTTCTGTCCTGGTTCAGGTTCTAAAGCTAAATGTCTATCCTTTGTGTCTAACCCTTCTAGTTATCCTTGCACATTATAAGTTTTTTCTTCTTTATTGAATTTTTTGTCCTGCAAAACACAAAAGTCACACCTTGCCTCCCTCAGAAGTCTATGTGTTTCTTTTTTTCCTCTCCCTCCCCAGACCTAACCTGACAACTTTGCCGTAAATTGGGGCTAATGCACCTAGAACCAAGACTTCAAATTCAGACCCTTTGTTGGTAGTTTTCAGATGAAAAGTTGGCTAATATGCTGTCATTATTAATAGATGGCTATGGCATGGTGGCAAAGTGAATTTTTGTTAACCATCAAAACTTTACTGCCCCAGAAGTAAAATGCCTTACCCAAGAATTCTATGAAATGCAACTCGGAAACATATCTCATTGTACTAAGATAAAGCTACAACCTTCTTCTAAATGCCCTTTTAAAACTAGAATATTTTTCCTATTTTCTCTATACTTAATTCAGCACCTGGGCAATCCAGCTGTCCTTTGGAGTCTGATAGGGTCAATAAACTGTAGCTCATGGGCCAAATCCAACCCACTGCCTATGTTTATAAATAAAGTTTTATTGGAACACACTCATTTACATATTGTCTATGACTGCTTTCACTCTAAAACAGCAGAGTAGAGTGGTTGTAACAGAGACCATATTGCCCACAAAGCTAAAATAGTTACTCTCTGGTGCTTTATAGAAAGCTCACTGACCCCTGGGCTACAGCAGCCATTCTCAGCTCATCTGTGGGTTCCCAACACCCAGAGAGCTCTATAAAAGGACCAATTACCGAACCACAGCCAAACCAATTAAATTAGAATCTATTGGGGTATGATTCAGGCATCAGTATTTTTTAAAAAGAATATTTCAGTTCATTCCGATGTATGGCCAAGGTTGAGAACCACTGTCCTATGGGAAGGAGTTTGCTTCTGCTAAGTTTCATCAGGTATGTGCTAGAGAGTGAAGAGAGAGCTATTCTTGCTCTACAAGTAAGATGAGAAAATACCCATGGACGTCTTCCCATTTATCCTGAATCTCCTTTGTAAAATTTGATGCCTAGTAATGGACCACAGGATTTAATCAGCTCCTGCTCTTCTTTCAACAGCCTTAATTCTTTACTCATGACTGAGATCAATAAAGGGACCTTACCTGGCTCCTTTGCCATCTTCCTCTTCTCTTTTCTTGCTTCTTCTTTTTCACTGTCTTGCTGAAAAAGCACAAGGCGACAGGTGGGCACAATAACTGCTGAGAGAAGTAAGGTGGCCCATGGATTGTCAAATCAGAAAGGGCCATTCAGTTATTTTTGAGGGAGAGGAGGTTCTGCCCATGGGCCTTCTGGAAAATACCACTTTGATTTTTGAGGTGGTCCAACTGTGATAAAAGTTTGCGAAGCTTTACTGTGGTTGATGTTTTCTGTTAATATTCAGCATCCCCAGTTACTGTTCCTGAAGGAGGATGTGATGTGCTTATGGGTGATGAAAACGGAGAGCAGAAGAACGATAATAGAAATAGAGCTTTTCAGAAATAGTCTAGATTTTATCATCCCTCTCCTGAATTACTGAATGCAAGGGGCTCCTATTTGCTGTCTGCAATTCCATCTCAACACATCTCCATCCCCACCATCAATTACCTTCCATATTCCTGCCAAATATAATGTTCTAAAAGAAAATCTAATTATACTCCTCTTCACTGAAAATCAGCTCATGATTCCCCATTACCAGTAAAATAAAATTCAGACCCTTTAGCAGTGTATACAAAGTTTCTCTGACCCCTGTCATCTCTTCAGCTTTATTCCTGCTCTCTTTTCTGCATGCCATGTAGAACCACTTTTAATTCTTTTGATGGAAATTTCACATACCTAGAACATCCAATCTCCTTTGCCCCTCTACCTTGCTGCTTTACTTACCTGACTTTACTTAACACTTCACTGCATTGAATCATTAAAGATTCAGATCAAATTATTAGATCCTTTAAAAAGTTTTCCTGGATCCTCATCATAAGGTTGGATTTTTGCTGTTTGTTCAGTTGTTCATTCATTTACTTATATAAAGCTCTCTTACTGAGAACTTTCTAAATTGCAAGGGCTTCTTAGGTTCTAAAGAGATGGAGATAGACAAAAACATGATTCTTGCTCTCAGAGAGCCCTGACCTAGTTGGGGGCTACAAAAACATTGAACAAGGCCTGTTATTGATGCAAACAAGATATCCAAGAAGCATAGTTACCAAATGTCATCAGAAAGAAGCCAACCCCACACTCTGATTGCCCTTTGAAGAGACACAAATCACTACTAAAAAAGAAGCAAAGCATGAACCTGAAAAACTGGGTGTGAGTAGTTGCCTTCCTAGGTGATCTTCACATTCAAATCTCTGAATCCCACTTGACGCCACTGGACCTTACATTGAGAAATATAGCAACAGCCTGCATTTCAGCATTTGCTGTGTACCTCAGAGCCAGGCAGGCTTGCTGTGGTGGAGTGACAGATTATTTTTAGTTGAGCAGTTGGATAAAACGTTGACTGTGTTGACACGGTTGTCAGCTAGCTGGTTTAGGGCTTGGTTATCTGCCTTTACAAGTCTTTTCAAGGCTTTTGAGCATTCAGGCTTCTCCACCTACTTTCCATACATGATCCTGTCAGCAGAAAGGGGCTTCTCTCTGAAGATCCCAGGCTTGTGATTTTCCACTGAGAGTAGTGACCTCTTCAAGCTATAAAGGATAGAAATGGCTTTATATATGTCTGGCAGAACCTACTGCAACTGAGGTGGCAAAGAATAGGACTCTTAAGAAGAGGATTTGGGGACACAGCTGGAATTGGAGTTGTTGAGGGTCTCTTAAGCAGGCGGTGGCCTTATCCCTCATGTGACCCCCGGAATAAATTACACTGCATAGAGTAGCCCTACTCTGTGAATAACATAGTCACATGAATAACATGTTTGTTTTTTAAGCCTTCTTGTTTTCTATTCCTTTATATCACAGACCCTGGAGATTTGGGCTAAGTGAACCCATTATCTGTTCATAAGCCTCAGGCATGTATAAATTATACTCCCAGCCTCTTTGTATTTCTTTGTTAGGATTTCATTCAAGGACAGAGGGTAAAGAGAAATAAAACGAAACTGGGAAGAGAGTTAGGGGAAGGGGGAGAGAGGGGCTGTGGGCTGTGACACCTGGATGAATGAAACAGCAGTAGACTCACACTAACACTAACCAAAGACAAAATGAAATAAACCTTGTCCTTAGAGCACAAGAGGAGGGAACATGCACAAAAGTAAAGGACAGCAGGGCTTTGGTAAATCTCTTTATTCATCATTGTATTAGGACTCTTTGAGTTTCTGATAATAGGAATCTAAACCAAGCTAGCTTAAGCAGAAAGAGGTACTGATTATAAAAGATACAGGATGTCTCAATCCAAGAGCGGAAATGTGGCTGGATGGGCAGTGGAAGCGAGAACTGCAAGGCCATTGAGAACTGCGAGTGCTCCATCACCTGTCTCTGCTTCTTTCTCTGTGTCTGCCTCTTCCTTTTCCTGAGAAGAAGGGATTTTTTAGCTGCCAGGTCCATATAGTAGGCACAAGATGACTGCCCATGGTTCCCAGGATCACAACTCATAGTTCCAGCTCCATGAAAAAAGAGATGGCTTGATTCAATACTTTTCAGTCTCCATAGCACATGGTCCTAGAGTGCCATCTCTGTTCCAGCAAGAATGAGCTATCTCCAGCTTCAATCAACTGACATTCGAATTGAACTCCATTATACAGACATAGACCCTAGGAATTAACCTGCCCATTTGGAGGAATGGGAATGGGAATGGGAATCATTGTAAGCTGGAAAGATGCTCTTTGGCAGGAGTTGCTATTAGTACTATGAAAAATAATGTAGATTTAAGAGCAAAAGATATAAGATGCAAGGCCAGGAGCATGGGTAAAATTATTGCTTCTTAATTAATTGGCTGTTCCATAAATTGACCCCACCGGAAAAAAAATGTCTCATTTCTCCCATATACTCACCACAGACCTTTCCAAGTGATTCCCTTTATTGTTCTAAAAGTGTGCTATGCAAAGTGTCACCTCCCTGGTTATTCTGGGTTTCTCACTGAGAATACCCTTCCCCCTTATTTCTTTGCCAATCTTATTCCTCCTTTAGGGGTCAGCTCAAGTTCCTACTTGTTCATGAATCTCTTTCTATTCTGATCATATTTACTAATCAATTTACTAATTAGTTTCATCTTCATCAAATAAATTTTTCCACCTAAACTACATAGTCCTTTTCAAAGACCATGTTGTCCACTTGTTTGCATCTTTCATGGTACTGGGGTGCACAAGCATTTTGTAAAAACTTTTTTTAGTAGACAGCTTTAAATTTGTATATTAAGAGTGTCATACAACAAAACATTACTATATTCCCCATGATATTCCCAATTACATTTATGGACTTGGAGATTCCAAGCATGAATGTAACTGGACAAATAAAACTGTGGTAATGGGGAATTCAAATTAAATTTTTTTAAAAGGATGGAATTAGTCATTTTAAAGAAAGATAAATTGTTTCATATCATTGTATGATCATACGTATCTAGCGTTTATAGTGTGCCTTCTGTTTAAAACACTTTA